ACATATCAGGCCATGGTACAATTTTTACAATCAAAGATCCACATATCAGGCCATGGTAAAATTTTTACAATAAAATATCTACATATCAGGCCATGGTAAAATTTTTACAATAAAATATCTACATATCAGACCATGGTAAAATTTTTACAATCAAAGATCTACATAACAGGCCATGCAACAGGACTTACAATAAAATAATTACGTACCAGGCCTTACTACAGGGTTTACAATAAAATAGTTACGTACCAGGCCTTACTACAGGGTTTACAATAAAATAGTTACGCACCAGGTCTTTCAAGGGATTTAAAATAAAATAGTTAGACACTAGCCAATATTGCACGGTTTACAATAAAATGTTTACGTACCAGCCTATACTACGTTATTTACAGCTTGACAGTGGTCCTGCAACCATGATAAAAAAGAATAAAAATAAAGTTAGAAGGTGTTGTGATGAATAGTTCAAGTGTACAGAGGCTGTACGTTACGTATCGTTATCAAGCTTCTGTGGGCGATCTTTGTACTTTGAGTTTTCCAATACCACATAACTGATAAAAAAGTTTAAACAAAAGTCCTGGATTTTTATCAAGTATGTTACCACACTACACTGAAAGTAATGTTGGTTCCAACACGTAATTGACCTATCTTTTATTTGACAATGTGCTTGTTAAATATCATAGCTCAGTTCTATAAAATTGAGGTTGTTTCACCTGATAGTGGCGGTGCTTTTTTATTTATTTATTTTTTAGCGTTAACGTTGTTTTTCTGCCTCAAATTCCCCGAGATAAAAGTTGCAAAGATATATTTATATATATTTTAATAATCAATGAGTTACAGCATACGTCAACCTCAACACATCTGCTATCTGCTACATCCAATGCCAACGAGGCCTTTCGTCAAACACCAGGGCTCATCAGGCCGGCTTAGTTTGATTTGTTACGAATTTCGCGCAAAGCTAAGCGAGGGCTATCTACGCTAGCCGTCCCTAATTTAACTGTGTAAAGCAGCTAGTCATCACCACCCACGGCCAATTCTTGGGCTACTCTTTTACCAACGAATAGTGTGATTGACCGTCACATTATAACGCTCCCACGGCTGAAAGGGCGAGACACGTTTGTTGTGACGGGGATTCGAACCCGCGACCCTCAGATTACGAGTCGAGCGCTCTAACCACATGGCCATGCTCAGATAGTAATAGTCCATACGGTGTATAGATGTGTGTGAACAATAATTATTATGGTGGGAAATAGCCCTAACCACATGGCCATGCTCAGATAGTAATAGTCCATACGGCGTATAGATGTATGAACAATAATTATTATGGTGTGAAATAGCCCTAACCACATGGCCATGCTCAGATAGTAATAGTCCATACGGTGTATAGATGTGTGAACAATAATTATTATTATGGTGTGAAATAAAGTAAGCAAGTGAATCGTAATTATTATCAATTTTATTTAAGTCACTTATAAACCAGATTTCTTAAGTGAAGAATTAATAACGCAATATTGTATATTTTGTTTTTCATTCAATGGACACAATAAAAACTCAGTTACTTCTCGGATCGTTAGTTTGATAGAATAAATTCGTACGAGTTTCCATATCTGCATCTTTTGACTTAGAATTTGACCAACATTTTTTGACTTAGAATTCTACCTTGCACGAGTAAACACCCCTGGTGGCTATTTAGAGCAAAGTTTATGTTTAAGGGATTTAAGGGGGACTTAGCTTAAACCTTTATACTGCGAGTTTCATCCAGAGCAAGGGATTTTTGATTTGGTTCATCTCGGATATTCGCGCAAAGCTATACGAGCGCCATCTGCGCTAGCCGTTCCTAACTTTGAACTGATAAGACTAAAGGGCAAGTAACTAGTCAACGCAACTCACTGCCAACTATTGGGATTGACCGTTACTCTTATAACGCACTCACGGCCCCAACGTGCAGAGTGAGATTGTTTTTTTTTTCACTGTAACGGTACATGAACATTTGGGTTTGGGATTCACAGTCCGGCGTATTAGTTCTTACGGCACGCTCAGATCTTGTGTAAGGGATTTACGTTTGGTTTAGTTTATCCATTTTTAACCAGGAGTTTTTTCTTGAGTTACTAAAATCGTTTTATGAATACCTAATAAAAACCTATTAAGTACCTAAGTCGATGTCTCGGGGACTGAAGTTAGCCTCATTTTAATCGTTTTCAATAGGGATTTTTTTTTAATCGTTTTCAATAGGGATTCTTTTTTGAGCAAAAAATAGTGGTGCGAAAACTAGTTAAAAGCCCCCACTAAAAACTCAGCCGATTTTTAACTACTGCTCTCCATCTCACTCCATTGTCGAGTGGCTCAGCTGTAAGTTTGAGACCTTATAACCCTATAATTTAAGATTCGATCACTGCGGTGTATACAACACAGATTGTGCAGCTTTGCCCTTAAAACAAAGAAACCTTTATTTTTGTGAGAGTATGAATACGCATGCTAGCGATCTGGAAGTAGTATAATATAATGATATCTATTAATACAAGTAGTCGTTGTAAGGCGCAAAGCGAACATCTTTGTAGATTAGACTGCCCCCTAGCGATTACTTCTGTGCCAAACTTGTTATCTGGTTTCAATGCACTCGAACGAAAAATTATGATCACAATATTAATTAATAATTCAATGCGTTGGTATTGGACTGAATTACGTCAACAGAGGGCAAAGTATACATGATTTGCCACTATACATATAGATCATTTTAACCCGATGGCACTTATTTGTCCATTTTTGTTTTTGAGTTAGATGAAAACTTTTTTTAAAGAGCTACATTAATTAAATACGTTAAGATCCTAATCAGCTAAATACTGAAGTTTTTGTTGGTTTTTTTTACAGGTGAAACTGAAAGCTTTCCCTAGACAATTTGAAGTTTATACGAAAATGTACAAAAAAAGAAGAACGAGACGTCGTTTCGATAATTTAGCGTCTCTTTCCACCGCCAGGCATACTTTTGTGCTGTATGCCAAGCCCACGTGAATGTGAACAATAAGAAGATTAAACCTTTAATACCTTCACGACAAAATAAAATCACCATGACAACGTAAAATGCTGTCTAGACAACGGATAAACTACTCAAAATGAAACCCAACCGCTCTAGGTTCAAAACAACTTCATTTATTCGTATGTCTTTGCAAGGAAATATATGTATAAAAGAAAGACTAAAATTCATGTACTCTCGTATCTTTTGTTCGTCTGTTTCTTTCGACAAGAATCTAACTTGTGCATTAGTTAACGAAATCGAAGTTACTAGATTTTCGCCATCTAAATTAACGGGTATTATCTTACAGCAATATATTACAGATAGCTTTGTTTGTAATTGTGTACAAAGATAAACACTGGGTTATCTGTGCTCTGTCCACAACGGGTATCGAAACCCGATTCTAGCGTTGTAAGTACGCAGACATATCGTTGTGCCACTACAGGTAGCTTGTGTGGATTCGTGAGCAACACTGCTCCGCTTCTTTTAATGACATCAAAATACATCTGGAGTAGAATACATAGGAAGAAATATTTTTAAATTTTAAATTTTTGATTGTTATTAAATTTCTTAGAAATCATTTGCAAAAGTTCTAGAGGGCAACATTAATCAATAAATTTAAAACAACTACCAAGAATTTTAAGCCTTGCTTTCAGTCTAATAGATTGAGAGTAAGAACGTCTAGCGGTACTAAAAATAATTATTCAAAAGTGAACTTTTTCTATCGAGTACGTTGTATTTAAACGATTTTGGAGCCTCACTACGTCGTTATAGTATATGTTCCTACGTCAATTTATGCTCTGTCTAACGACTATGCATCTTTACAGCAGTGCTGCAGTGTACTTTCCATTGCAGAATGTTTTTTTTGTAAAACTGTTGTGTCCAAAGCACCGTACTCCTCCTGTAGGGTTTCCATAATCCATCTAGCAAATGAAAACGACAGTTTCTCAGTGCTCGTTTCAAGAGCCCGATTAAACAGAAATCATAGGTGCTACTTCCGGCGACTTGACCTGTATAGAATAGCATGAATACCCGTTTCATTCTCCAGATGCTTAAGGTAAGAAACAATTGAACGGGAAGTATGACTGGAAGTCTTATCTTAGTGAACCCATACACTCACTGTTAGCCTTGTTTCCTTACATAGCCGGAATTTCTGTGTGTCACAAAGGATTCAGAACATTGATATTCTACTAAGCAGAGTTCACCTTTGAATTATCCAGAGAGAAGGCATCACAGCCAGAACACCCATCGCAACAAAAACGTTGTCGGAGTTTAAGTCGAATAAGGGATTGACTGTCACCCTTATAATACACCTACAGCTGAAAGAGAAGAACATATTCAGCAGCATCCTGCACGAACTTTTTATCTTAGATAAGCGGTCCGGTACCCTAACCACGAGGCTTCGCGTATCGGATAGTAAAGATTTTCTATACCATAACTTTGGAATATGTAAAATAAAATTCAAATATATGTGTTCTTTTAAACAAATGATGAACGTGTAAAGTATATTTATGAGTACATAAAAAAAACATCATATGTTTTAATTTTTTAATGGAGTAGTTTGTTTGTTTGTTTTCGAATTTCGCGCAAAGCTACACGAGGGCTATCTGCGCTAGCCGTCCCTAATTTAGCAGTGTAAGATTAGAGGGAAGGCGGCTAGTCATCACCACCCACCGCCAACTCTTGGGCTACTCTTTTATCAACGAATAGTGGGATTGACTGTCACATTATAACGCCGCCACGGCTGAAAGGGCGAGCATGTTTGGTGGGACGGGGATTCGAACCCGCGACCCTAGGATTGCGAGTCGAGCGCCTTATCCACCTGGATATGCCGGGCCTAATGGATTAGTAACAAAGTTTTAATTAATCCACCTTCTTTGCAAAACTTTAGCTCTGTTGCTTCAAAATTCATCAGTGGGCAAAAAAAAAACAACTAAACACATACAACACATCGCCCAATCGACTTAATGCATTACATAAAAAATATTGTAATTAGACAATCGAATAAATCTGGTTCTCAGTTAATTATATTTTCATCTTTATAACTCACCCCACAGTGACTCAGCGGTAATATCCTCGGTGGGCTGAGCACAGATAGCCCATTGTGCAGTTTTGTGCTTAAAAATAACAACAACTTTATAACTTGTAAAGAGAACGCCATCTGGAGTATATATGCTAAAGATATATCTTATAATAGTAAATAATCTTATATCTGTCCCCTGGGGGGGGACAGAGGTAAGTTTACATACTTAAAATGCTAAAATCCGGGGTTCGACATAGCAGATAGCCCAATGTGGCTTTGCTTTAAAATAAACAAGCAAAACCTATCTGATATCCAACTGAAATAACCACCACTCTTCTCAACCCAAACGAAAAAAAAAGATTAATTTTGGT